TATAATAATGGAATTGGTAATTCATGTTCGGACGGATCAGAATTTGCTTGAGCCTTTGAGAATCATAGTCTACAAGGTCAGGTAAGATAGTAAGGAATGGTCGTCAGTGGTAGCGCTTCATGTCTTCCCCTGGTGTTGGGTGATAAGATAAGGTTTATTGCGCTGGTTCAGGATCTACGCGGCACTTGTTCTGATGCTATTGCATGTCTTTCAAGGAGTGAGGACTGGAAGAAACAGATCGTCACTTCTGATTCCCAATGATATAAATGTCTTCGGGGCCTTTTGGGAAAAGAAGGGAAGGTCATTCTTGATATATGAAACCGAGTGGACATAGTTGCTATGATAGAGCTTTAGCTTTCAATAGAAGTCAATAAATGCTTGTATGAAATTATGATGCGCAACGAGGTTTTCCAGTCGAAGTACGATCACTCGATAGCAGAGGGTATACCGAGATACATATATTTTAAGACAATCAAGATGAATGATTGGTATTGTAGACTTACGATGTTCATGTATTCCATGGAAAGAAGTCTGGATATTTAAGATAGGGGCGGTTATAGACGGCGTCTACTGCCACTTGGAAATTGCAGGTGTTGGCGGGGGACAAGTGGGGATGCCGGACTTGGACTATGGTTTTTCTCAGTCCCGCTAACATAGAGTTGCCAATGGAATTCACTATTCTCCCGAACATTCTTAACTTGTAGATGAAAACAGCATTTGGATTTCTTTATGGTTGGTGATGCGATGCGATGCTGATGTCGATCTTTGTAGCTTGTTCGTTGGGCGTGGAGAGTCGGGTATAGATGCGTAAGACATTGAAGAGTGTCCGAATGCAATTATGCTCCCATTTTTATCCAATAGACTTGTCATATAACCATAAATGGATATTGATATGCCCAAAACACGAGATTTTAACAAGAATCAGATAAGCCATCATTTATTGTTTGAATCGTGATGCCTTTCAATCTTATTTGTGGTGGTCGAGATCGAGGATTTCAAAATCTGAATTTTGGTGGTGGGGTGAGCTGTTGTGTGGCAAATTTCTGCAAAACCCAGATCATCGAGCTGGGAAACTATTTGTGGCCACGGAAAAGGAGCTCCAAGAGCACGACATAGATATCTCTGCTACTACGACGTCTGATTGCGGGATCCATATCTTACCGGAATACATTAAATTGTCGAGCTTTCAAGTTCTGGAAACCCGCAAACCCTAATGTTATCCTAAGGGTTGCCGGCATATTGAGGCTTCATGCTTGTCTCCAGAGCTGTTGAATTGTGCTGAATTGGTGCTGCGTTTCACAACTGGTTGCGAGATTATGGGGCTTTAACAGCCAGAAGTCAAACCTTTTGCCGGTGCAGCGAAGCAAACCTTGTAGTTACAGACAGTGCAAAATTCATTTGCAGCGCATAATGTAAGTTCTACTGCGATGTGGCTTCTGGGCATCCACGCAAAGATGATTCACCGACTTCACGGGAAGTGACTCTCAAGAACATATGACTAGAATGAGAGTAATTAACGCCGTCGGCGAAGGTGGGTCTCCTCCAAACAAAAAACAATCATGGGGGGGCCGAGGCCCTGGGACAAGAACCATGGGTGCGACGGGAAAGATCCTGTCCAATGCCTTCAACGGAGAAAGCATACTCGGCCATGCACTCACAGCAGATGTGACCAGCCCAATTTGCGACAAATGACAAGTAGACTAGACTCGGAGTTGTACATCTTTGGAAGCCACCGAATCCTTTCTAGGTTGAACACCATGTTCACCTCCTCCATCTGTTAGGACTCACTGCTGGCGTATCCTCCAACGAGCTATGCCAACTTGGGGGTCGAAGCTAGATCGTGCATGGGTGTCTTATAAGAACAGAGATATTCAGTTGGGTATCAGTGGAAGACCCAATGATATATGCAAAGGCAGTTGCACTAGCCCAGTATAATACAGTCATGCGTGTTGGTAAAGGGTAAATTGTAAGAAAGAATATGCGATATTTATCATGAGCTATCAAAGGAAACAGTAGAGGAGGTAGCGTTATAGGCGGCAAACATCGAGTTGTCCAGGGACTTTGAACACACGATCTAGAACATGATTCTTATGTAGTGTGACGATCAGAGAGCTAAATGGTTATGCTCTTTCTATAAATTGCGCAATCACTCACACCGTAAATTTAGCACTCATGAAGGTGCTAATTGAGATCTTCAAAGATACCTAGCATCCTGGGAGATGGGGGAACTTAGCTGCTTAGATATGAAATGGGCATTCTTTTGCTGTGATTTTCCTTGCTTAAGTATCGACTGGGTATAATTGCGGGTATCTAGAAGGTTAGCACATGAAATATACACATTTCCGAGACATACTTGTTAGGGACGCTAAGGTGAGCTGTCCCCTGGAACCTTATATCGATCAAAACTCAAACAAACCCTTAAAATGGAGTACTCGGTTACTTTCTAGTGATGCAATAGAGTTGCTTGATACTTGGTATCTGCTTCCTCTACTCTACCGTCACTGAACGATGAATTCTTCAAACAGCAAGCTCTAATTGAACGTCAGTGGTCAATGGTCAATGGTCAACACCAACATCGATCATTAGCGTGTGCAACTGAAGCTCTTCTAGCCTTCAGAAGCGACACCGAGTGAGAAACCTCAGAACTAACAAGCTACCCTGACCTGGTCAGGGTTTAGCCATCCGTCAAACTTGAGCTCCCTCCTTTGAGGGAAAGCACGGCACCTACAATGCTTAATAGAATGTTGATATCCGCTCTGTTAAAGCAGCATTGGGTGGCAAGGACTGTTTCGTCGGCAATATTTTGCTTTTCTCTGTTCGGGCAACGGCTCCTCTATAAATGTTACAACGTAGGATGGTTGTGCATTTTCCCAAGTGCGCCGGAGGTAAGCGGAAGTCACGATGAGAGTCTTCTTGAGGTTCTATGGTGATCGTTTACTTGATAAGGCTGGTGCTGTTGATCATTACTATACACAGAGTTGTGTCTCAGCCCCAGTGTGGCGTAAGTGACCATGATATTGGCAACACCTAGGTATATTCCAAGGTGATGAACTTTCTACCTAGCTCAAGCCTCGGTATTACTGATGGAAACGTTACAAGAAGACACACTTAGCATGCTGGTGATGTGGTGGGCTATTTTCAGAAACATGAACATGCCAATTACGTATAGGATTAAACCTGGCATCGTTGATGAATCTCTTCAGTCTTCAATTAGCTACAACCTAGGTATTACACGCTTCGCACAACTTATGTAGCTAGGTTCCATGGAAAAATGATGTCCGGGCAGAAATTCCATCCCACCCATTATCCATACACCCGAAAGCATCCAATGATTGTATCGGACTTGCGCCATTCGCTTCGGAGACCGGGCCCCTTACCGAAAGGTTACTTTTCCAATCATGGTTTTGGACTTCAATCCTTCTTTTTCTTCCCCACAATGACGATTAAGGGTCCATTTCCTTGGATCGATAACAAAAAGGGCAACTTTTTGATACTCAAGACGAGACATCATCTCCAGTCTCAACCCCTCCTCCCACACAAGCAACACCGAATTGTATGCTTTTGATGATTTGCAGACAGACACCCCCAAGGATTGTTATCTAATAAAGTTAAAAAAGGTAAAAATCAGTCGATAATTACTTCTTCTCATTGAAGGGATGATATCAGCCGTTAGCATTCATCGATATCCTTGAATAAATCTATTTCGAGTTCCGTCCATCTTCATCATATTCCGCACACTTGCATTTACCGTTTAACAACCTGATATTTGAAATAGTAACAACTATTAGGTAAGCCATTAAAAAAAAACTAGATGCTTGGGAACCGGTACTTGTGTAGTCTGTTAATAATTTGTATGTTGACAGAAATTTTAATACACGCGGCTGTGGGTAGATGAAGGGGCTTGAGTTTTGATACGCTTAATAAAGCGAAGAAGCGGACATTACTTCCGAATTTGTTGAATTTTCACGTCGAAAAGAGATGAACCTGTAACTTTGATTGGTCAAAAAGACAAAAACTCAAATCCAAAATCATATGAAAAATTGCACGCGATTCACACGCTATTTCATAGTGATGATGCCTAGGTAGTATTTAGTCGTCCGTCGTCCCCTCCATCCGTTCGGGGCTTTTGTTGTGATCGCAATAGATAGAGCAAAAGAAAGTACGTTCTCTATGAATCTGGTACTATCGACCAATCGTAACTGTGGTTTTTGAGATCAAGCAGGGCTATGACCTCAACTGATAACTTCGGTTCATTCGCAGAGTAGTAGCATAACCTGATGTAGCTTACTCACTCTGCTTTAGTACGTTTCGTAAGCCAACGATTCTTTTTCCTCGTACGAGCAATGATTTCAATGATTTTATCGGTGGCTTTATCCACGTTCCATGCATCAAGCCACAACAAACTTTGCCTACTTTTGTTGGATCTCCATACAGGTATTTCGTACCAGCCCAGAAAGCAGATACGGGGTCCGCACATCATTACTCAAGACATTTTTCGAGGATGGATCAAGACATGTAAAATTATATTGATACGACTGTTGAAGATCTTTTCAAAAGAAAGAAAAAAGCCCCCCCAAAATATCAATAATGATGCCTGTAGCGTCTAGACAGCATACCACGATGCCGGGTAATACTTGTATACCTCAGTACCTAAGTTTGAAGAACTGTCTATCTATCGAACTACTGAAACCTTCGCAAAAACTCCCGTTTGCATCAATATCCAATCAGTTTATTCGCCACTGCTTCTACTAGCCGTGTTAACCTTACCAAGGTACACGCAAGTCTCCATCCTCAAGGGTTCTCCCGTACAGTAGAACGAAGTAGTGGTAGGCGAGGAACTCCTAGGCAAAATAAGCTGCGTTCCTTCCCTTTTACAGTTTAGTCAATAGTACTCGCTCCAGCCATGGAATTCTACAAATCCCATGAAATTTTTACCATTTTTTAAAGCGGCCTTCAAGCTCAACAATCAATTTCCCATCATGGGTATCAGGCCAACTCCACCACAATAAGATGTTCGATTCTCCTTCCTTCTCTGCCCTAGATTTGGCTACCTGGACACTGATCCCATGCCAAAAACATTGCTCTGCCATGCATGATTACAATCTAGAAAGCTAAAGCCAACATTATCTTGTCGTTATAACTTTAGATGGGTTTGTAAACGACGTTGAGGCTTATAAATAATGTTTTTTTCTTTCTCGTGAGCAGACTTTACCGAATGTCCTTAGTCTTTTCGGTCTTCGTACTTTCTAGATTTCCTACCCGATAGTAGTGAGGGTCAATATCTACTTAGTAAACGGGTGATATTTGCCTCCCTACATGTTCCTGACGATCTCTACCCTTTCTTCTGACGCTCAAGTGCCTACATCAAGACGAGACCACCGCCACAAAAACCGTTCCGACCCCCTTCATACCCCGCGTGGCCTTCGATTTCTGGCCGATAGACCGTCAACTTGAGATTAGACCTTATCTTTACAAATCTTTAGCGCTGCCTCATTCTATATTTTGTTCGCAACCCATTCAACAATTCTTCGATATTCTACAGCTCGACAAAGACATTCTGACAGGAAAGCAATCCACATATATTTCAACTGGCTGGAACCTTGGCATCGGGATAATTTCACAGCTTCTCTGTACTACATTGCCTGTCCTTGTTGATCGACTGCATCCAAACATCCCGTCATTGTTCTATGCCCTTCCTCATCCTGGTTTTGGACAGCTGCTTTAACTTCTATCAACCTCTACCGAACGAGCCACGATTGGACCCTTGTTTTTGCCTCCTCCACACAATCTGATCAGCTTCCCATCGTGTAATCTCGAAGTACTGCCACACTCGCTACAAACTTTATATCGACTTTTACCACCCGGGTTCGATTTGGCCTCGGACTCAAAGCTTCCTTCTGGACACTGTGTTATACTATCTTTATTGTAATTGAGTTTTCCGCATCAACTCCTCTTCCACCAACGAGTCACAACAAATCACCATTTTGTTCATTCACTATACTTACATTGCACACTTGCCTCATACTTCAGTGAGTGATTGGCACGTGGAATCCCTCTGCCTCCTTGCCAATACTGACTTTGCATAGATCGGGGTTATCATCAGAGCAACCAACCATAAATCCATGGGAGACTCATCAGTTGTCGGGTCCAGATCAAACGATGGCGGATTCCCAGATACTTCACAGGTTCTAAGACAAGATGCTGCGCAGAATCCAGGAACAGAGTCTCAACAGGATAGCTCAAGGAAAGCTTCGAACAGACCCTCGCAGTTGACTAGCACTCCATCGAACTATGCCCCGAACTTGGCGTATTCTCAACATCCTATGTCGCATGCAACACCGGAATCTTTCAACATGACAACACTTAGTGTTACGCTTCCAGATATGTCTTACCAGAACTATGGCCAACGATTTCCTCAAAGCCCCGGCGCTCCACTGCCTTTTATGTATCAGACGCATTTTGCAAACCAAGGCATCTTGAGTCCTCCACCCACCGCTTCGTCATACAGTACCCCATACCAGACGCAATATGGAGGTTATGCGTCCAATCAGCAAATGCACCAACAGCACATGCATATGGCCGCCACCAACCATCAGTTCTATGTTGGTCAAGGATACATGGGACAACCGCATCAACAACCGCAACAATACCAAGCAGGGTCGCAATATTATATACAACCTGGTAGTTATGGACAGCAAGGCCAAATTTATACAGGAAATCAGATGGGAGTGCAATATCCACAGCGCGGTAGTTTCTCTGGGGAAAATAGACCTATGTCACAACACCGCAATGATTTATTCGTCAATGTGACGGGTCAGGTCGGGAAGTCGAATAGCGTTGGTAAGCTCTAGGCTTCTTCAAGTGGCCTTTGAAACCCAATGCTAAGCATATCATAGTCTCTAGTCCAACACAATCATCAGTCGTCAGAGGACCTCCACGAAAGCCCCGTCAAAGTGGTATGTCTAATCTGATTCCTCGCTCGAATTTTACTTAAAAAGGTTTCCTAAAACTAACGAATTTGCGCTAGGACACGCGATCGTGAGCATAGTTACTTTTTTCATTCCACATACCATATCGAAATCTATATACCCAGTCTCATGTATTCCCTCGACTCTAAAATAAGCTTTAAACTTCTTGGTTGAATTAGGAAGACCTACTTGATTGGCAACAACTAACCTTTCTATGCTTTAGTGGATCGGCAATTTACCACCCCAGACAGATCTCATGAGCCTCGTCCTTCACGTTTGCAAAGAGACTGTTGGCCTTGAGTCACTATTTTTGATATCCAAGAGTAACTGCGCTTTTGCAAATTTCAAGGATGAGGCTGCATGTGTCGCAGCGCAACTGAAGATCCATGATTCGAGATTTCAAACTGTACGACTTGTCAGTCGTTTACGGAAAGCGTCCATTGGGACCGTCGGGGGTGTCTCTGTTCCAACAGGCCCAGCAGCTTTGACAGTTCCACAGTCATCACCAATCCCGTCGATTGATTCGGAAAATGAGAAGGTTTCAAAAGCAGCTGATGAAAAGGCACAGGACCCAGACAGGGATTCTCCACCTCTCACAAAGGATAAATTCTTCGTGGTCAAGAGTCTTACGGTTGAGGATCTAGAATTAAGCGTGCGAAATGGGATTTGGGCAACTCAGACACATAATGAAGAAGCTTTGAATAAGGCATACCAGGTAATTTTAATCCGAATTTCAGCCGAGACATCCTAACATAAAGCGACAGGCAGCAGATAATGTCTATCTCATATTTTCAGCGAATAAATCGGGCGAATATTTTGGGTACGCACGCATGATCTCACCCATCAACGAGGACCCAGCAGCAGCCATTGAATTTGCGCCCAAGGCTCAGGCGGTCGAAGATCCCGATCTTCCCAAAGCAATCTCAACGCCAGCATCTGAATTTGCACCCAAAGGACGCATTATCGATGATTCAGCTCGTGGAACAATTTTCTGGGAAGTCGAGCACGACGATTCTGAAGACGTAGAGGAAGATGATAGATCTCAAAGTGGCAAGAGCGATGTGGAAGGCGATGCGCCGTCAAAGGCCTGGGGTAAACCCTTCAAGCTTGAATGGATATCGACGACTCGATTGCCATTCTATCGTACACGCGGACTTCGTAACCCGTGGAATTCAAATCGCGAAGTGAAGATCGCGAGGGATGGGACTGAGTTGGAAACGAGTATTGGAAAGAGATTGGTGGGGCTTTTTCATAGGGTTCCAAGTCCTGTTGTGCCCAGTTTGCCTCAGATGCAGGGAATGCCAATGCCGATGCCGGTGCCCATTCAAATGATGCCTCCGGGTGGATATCAACAGATGCGTTCTTATAATTAAGATGAAAAGGGACGTTGATGTGGGTATCAATCAGATTGGGTGTGGAAAATGACGTGGGAAAAGTCTCTTCAATTTTTGTGTTCATTTTTCGTGTTGGCTCGGGCGCCCTGCCCTTCTTCTTTGAAGTTCTTTCATTGTATGCATGCATGCTGGATAACGCACGTTAACATTCTCTTTTGATATGAAAGCTTTTGGATCGATGCGAATCATGCGATGCAGACGACTTACGAGTCACGATTATCACAAAAGCACAACATTGAGGTTAATATTTCAGAAAGAGTCGGATTGCTTGGCGAGGCGTCACACGAGTGTTGAGCGAGCGAGCGAGTCTTGCGATGATGATTTTGGTTTCGTATCTTTGCGATTTTGTGGCATGTCTGTATACATACATGTAGCCATGTTGTATTAGCCAGGTTCTCATGTAGTTATTATCTAGAAACCCCTCAAATATTTCACTGCAAATCCATTCAATTTGCGACATTCCTCGTTCAACTCCCTATGTCTCTACTTCAATTGTTTACCTGCATTCATTCATTCATTCATACCCAAAACTAATTTCTCAAAGGCATTACCCAAAAAAGTTTCTTCGGCAAAAAAGAAAAAAGATGTTGAAATTTGCCACCCTACACTACCTAGGTAGGTATCCATAGACAATATCATCCATGCACCTAAGAGTCTTCCCCGCCAAGTTGTATTACCTCCGCTCCGGCATTTCGCCAAACTCAAACTCAAAATCAAACACGATGACAAAGACGTAAAGATCAGACCATTTTTTTCAGAAAGCTTATAATCAAGACGGAATATACCGATGAGATGAACAAAAACATAAACTTTATCGAATAGGAAGGACGTAAGCGGCGCCCCCTTAAGATTTTTTTTCGCTCGCTTATTTACACATTAGCATCGAGATGCTTCATAATTGCATGAACGAATCGTAAATCGCAGTCAGATGTCAATTTAAATTCGAAATGTAGGTAATGCATGTGGCGAATTTCCCCTCTTATCAAATACATTACGACGGAGAATAAGATGTGGCTGTGATTGTGTATATCTGGGAGGGGAAGGGATTTGCAATTTGTGAGATTTAAGAGGGCATGTAGGTACACGCATGTGATCACTAGGTATGGGTGTGCGAATGGTGAGTGGCGAATGCTGGTGATTGTAGAACCACACTGGAGTAGGGCGTACAATTGTGTAGCATGAATGGTGCGATACATCACATGCAAAAGTGATTGATCAAAGTGTATAACGGCTAAGTTATGTACGTTATGGTATAGCATGATATTTTGATATATCTAAATGGGATCTGGATTGACATATTTGTGACATCGAGATCCAAACTATCGCCAAGATTCCCAGAGATTTGGTATCTACAACTAAAGCTTACTGCGGAAATATTGTCACGTAAATTACATGCGAGAGGACACTCACACGGGATGAATTTGGATCGGAGAAGAATAGGCTATTAGGAAACACACTCACTTCACAGGTGTCCTTTCTACCGAAAAGCTACGAATTCGGAACCATGAGATAGAGTGATAGTTAAGAAGTCTTTTCTAGGCCAGCCAGTTCGCGAGACACTCTATGGAACCACAAGTGAAAGTACTTTAGCATTCCGATTAAGAATTGCATGTATTTGCGAAAAACCGGCCAACTCTTTGGGTCGAAGAAGCGAGAGGTGTTGATGCAAGATTGCCGCTCTCTCGCTCGGCAGTCGATCGAAATATTGCTGACTGGGCTTTCAACTATTCCTATTTTTCTCGATGGAATCCTTCTTCTAGGGACTTGTTTTGTACGGACTCGAGATTAGTAGATGTTATCTCATCAAGACGACGAATATTTGCAGTACGGAAAAGTCAGCTGTACGTTTCGGGGATCGATTGCTTTGAATTTTTATGTTACCTTCTTACTACTCCATCTAAGTATGTGATTATGATTTGGATAGTTTGATGAAGCCAAAATAAACAATACAAAGAGCTCATTTGACATATAGTAAATGAAGTCAATCGTTTGTTTTGGAACGTCTTTGCCTTCAGTGCTTATGATTACTGTGTTTACTACTACACATGACTTATAAGGCTTCAATCCGAGACACCAAAACTATTTTTTCGGTGCTATTGCCGTCACGGGAACTACGAGCTGAGAAACATTTATGGGTAGAATCGCGCTGTAATCTTGTGATGTGAAGGCTTCGAAGGAAAAATAGGTTGCTCAGTCGTCCCGCATGGTTCGTGTATTTCCTCAAGCATTCTTTACTGTCGTCGCAGATGCTGTCGAGAATGCTTCTTCTGGATCCTTTGAGCCGTAAGTATATAACTCAGGGAACGTTCGCAAGACTTTGATAGTTATTTGTGACTTTGCTATCTCGGCAGACAAGATGGCTTTGCAGCGCAGTCCGTTTATGGGAAATAAGCGCATTGGTATTTAATTCCTTTCTAAGGTTTTTTCTTCTAGGACGGGAGGAGACCAGGAGAAAAGGTTCGTCAGTATCTTACGTGTACAGAAATCCAGGTAAGGAGGACCTGATTCTATCTCCGAGTGGGCGCGCTAGTATCCCAGATATTACGATGAGTACAAGGAAGATAATATATATACGACGAATAGAATCTGGAACTGCATGAACAGCCGATTTTCCACTAAGGGTTTTTTTATCCCCATATAATCATGAATGATGCCATATGCCGTACGTCCTACTTTGAATAGTATCGAGAATCTCTAACTCTCAACTCAATCTCAACGATAGCACATGCTTCCGTGCCTTCAATACCGACTTCGTCTTCATTTATTAATCGCGCATTGGCTCTCACAAACAACTTTCTAAATCCGCTCTGCTAAGTAAGTTGATTATCCCGGGGATCTAACAGCGGCGAGATAGCTCGGGTGCATTCATTCAGTGACTTTGCACTCGCCTTTCTCACAAATCCTCCATTCTGTTCGCCCATTTATCTACATACATCTTTCAGTACATATACCACACCCCCTTATTGATCTGCTATCCACCAAAACCTCGCTCTGCCATCCTATCGAAACTTGTAAAGAACGATTTTGGCATGATCACCAGATCTATCTCTCATGGTGTTTGACATTAAAGTAACCCTCAATTTCCAATATTGACTAGCTCAGGGAATGACTCAAAGACTGCGGTATAGAAAAGTACATATTCATTGCGAAAAGTGACACAGATTTACTCTCAATGCTTCATACTCTATCCACTGAAGCACCACCATCAATACACGTCAAATGTTCATATCCAGGTTCGTTGCTATCACCATCGTCATAATTCACCATAATCTCCAACATTTGAGAACAAAGCGAGTATGCATCCCATCACAGCAGAGTTTGCTTGGCTAACTGTGCAATCGGTATAAGATTAAGAGGTTAGTCGAGAAAGCGTGTGGATTTGTTGCTGCTCCTCGACTTTTACATATCGACATTCCTGTTTTCACCGAGACGACCGAGAAAAATGCTTGACGGTGGTTTGCTTGGGATTTGGGAACTACGTTATAATCTTCGAGCAAGATGTATTGTTATATGCGGCATCAACACAGTGGATTTGTTGAACATCAAGTCTTTTCTCAACTCAAAGTTCTCGGGTGGAGGTTTTGATGCTGGTATGTCCACACGAAGATTTCCGAGCAATCTTATGGCAGACAGCACATTCTTTTAAGGTACGAAGATGTACTCCTGATGAGAGATGCTATTTTCACACAGAGGTGCATCATGTAAGCACCTCCAAAATACGTTGTACTCAGTGTTCCTACTCAATCGTACCAATATCCCGTACAGATTGAAGAACACACCGAATATATTAAACTTATACCAAAAAAATCATTGACTCACAGCCATTATCTGACCGGTGTACTTTGACTACCACCATAACTTCTGCTCGGCTGATCAATGGATGCATTACAGGATACAGTTACAACCTAAGATGCTTTCGACGGGCGATTTCGGAAGCACTCCGTCTGCTTTAGGACTACCTCTTTCGCCGGAGTCGCATGGGCAACTCATATTCGCTGATTGATGGCGAAGACTTTCATGAGAAGAACTCAGTTTCGATCCATCGACGGAGCGATTCAAAAGGCTCGCTTTCAGGGCCCGGAAGACATAGCTAGAAATTCTCATAACTTTCTGAACATTCTGATTTGAGAAATACAAGATTCTGAAGTCTTGCGGGGGAGATATTGAATATCGAGATAGCTGGTGGAGATAAAATAGCATTTAGTTTACCATGGACATTGCATGTTCGCCCACGGCCATTGATGACCTTGGTGTTGAGAATAATTCTCGAAGTCGTCTTCTAGAGTAGCATCTCAAGGCGCTTTAGAAGTTACGAGATGATATAGTCTACTGTAGAAGTCGCAATAAAGTTAAGACTGCCAGATAGAAATGATTTAAAGAGGATGAGATATTGAATTCCATTATGAAAGAAAGATGCTAACGTCGTCATTCTGACAAATAACCTTCAGTTACATTCTTCCGTTCCAATCAATCCACGGACAGCTCTTGGAGTAATCAGATTAATATAAGTAGGGATCCAGATCGAACCAAGCCCGTCGTGGTTCGAAGAGACTCTTTCATGGTGTATGTTATGCTTTGCTTGCCTGAAGAATTTTATGGAGAAGATGCCGACCCCTTCTTCTTAGAGCGCTAGGAATCTAACGGAAACGACATCATATATCTCAACATCATTGATGATTGGCATTTCATGTTCAATCTAGGGCTAAATGTTTCTTTGGGATACAAGTAATGTCATGCAAAATGGTCGTGTAGAGCATGTTACTGACAATATTTTAAAAAGACTTTACTTTAACTTTACAATTATAAAGATTAATTTGTGAGTGTCCGCATATAGCAGAACCTCCAAAGTATTGACGTGAATCAAAAGACAGCAAATATTATTGCAGGAGTAAAGATGCAAGATGCGATCTTGACACTTGCCGTACAGATCGATGTAGAATTGTAGCAACACTTGAGGTTTGTGGGTCTGAACGGTTTTCATTCATGTGACAATACAATGCGCAACTCTATTTCAGAGACTCTACGATGGCATATGTTCAGCTGAACAGTGCTAGACTATTATTCGATTATTCGGAAGATCAATAACCTTCAGCAGTCTCCATTGAGATTCTCCAGAATCTGTGATTTCTCAAGGACCGAAAGTCAGCAACCCATTGCCGCAGTGGTAATCAATAAACTTGTCCAGAATGTTACTATATACACACCTAGTACTCGGAACATAAGGCTGATCGGGCTCTAAATTCACACCCTGCGTAATGCTAATTATAATGATTCAACTTCCAAGATTGATATGGAAATGAAAGTGTACAAGAATAAGAGTGCAAAGTTAGGGATTCCTCAACAAGACATGATTCACGTACCTACCTATAGGTAAATACTTCTTGAACAAGTCATCAGTTCGTACACCTGAGATAGCGACGTGCAGCATCACTCCTTCCATACCTGCTTATTTAGCATGCATGTATGGCACATCTTGTACGGTCGGTCTTGCTTTTTCTAATACTGATATCTATGACTGTAACCACACAACAATAAGCTTGAACTGCAAAAACGACCAAGATGAGTGATGTTCACAGGTTTAATTCTACATGGGTTCATGAGTCATGACAAGTCAGAATTGAGATGATGGATATTCACCCGGATGAATTTGCTTGACACATTCGTCGAACATGAAAAGCTTCATGGGCTTGTATGGATAATCTGTGATCATCACTCTCTCGATATTGATAAGTTAGAGACCACTTGCATGGCGCATCACATCATGGTAATTCGGTGTTGCACGGCATCTTGTATGTGTCGACAACAGTCAAATGCCAGACATTCAACCACCATCCAGATCATACATATCAGGTTCATACGTTGTGGCATCAGGTGTACTTCAACAACCTTCATGACAGCATGCAACCATTCATCACTCATTTCATCACCATGACAAGGTAATGCATCAAATCAAAAATACAAATTTACAAAGATTGGAATGTATGGCCAATCATTGCGACCCTTCCTATAGTGAAAAAGGAAGCGCCGCACCCAAGATCGATCAATTTCTCTCCATTTCGACTGACGATTCTCAAGGTCGTGGAAACCTCACATCATCACGAATGATGACGGGTTTCTCACCGAAAATGCTTTATAGCGAATGTGATGTATGCGTTGTACTTCCGAAGAAGTTTGTGAAGAAGAAAAAGAGAAATCTTGGGAAGTGTCTGAACCTTTTTATCTTCGATTTTTTTTTCATTCGCTTAATCATCCACGATCTAGACCATCTCGGGATTAGTGTCAATCACCCCACCACTCAACCCGCGAAATGGGACAAGCCTGACAAAAAAACTTATTGACTGACCTATTGCCCCGCGTTGAATTATAATTTGTAACTAACAAACTTCATCGTTTGATTCAGAATCTCCAGATTTCTATTCATTTAAAGTACGTGATAAATTGTTCAATTCCCATCTCTTTTACCTTCAATTTGTGTCGATTACTCTTTTCACTCACACAGATTCTTGCAGCAAAGCACAATGTCTGCCCAAAAGACTGGTCAGTTAGTCTTATGCCATTCAAATAGAGAAAGGAAAGATTGTAATTAATAGAACCTCCTCGACTGACATGATTCAATAGCTATCATTTCTGTCTATGACAAGAAGGGGCTTCTTGATTTGGCCAAGGGATTGATCAAGCAGAATGTTCGTCTTCTTGCTTCAGGTGGGACCTCTAAAATGATTAGAGAGTCTGGTTTCCCAGTTGAGTAAGACGCTCCCTTACCCTTTGAACCTTTCGACCTTGAAACCCTTATCACCAATGCGATAATATATCATTTACATCTCTAACGTGTAAAATTAGAGATGTTTCCGCAATCACTCATGCCCCAGAGATGTTGGGTGGTAGAGTCAAGACACTCCATCCATCAGTTCACGCCGGGATCCTTGCTCGCGACCTTGCATCCGACGAAAAAGATCTCGCAGAGCAGAACATCGACAAAGTAGACTACGTCATCTGCAACCTTTACCCTTTCAAGGAGACAATCAACAAGATTAATGTTACAATCCCTGAGGCTGTCGAGGATATTGATATTGGAGGAGTTACTTTGATCAGAGCTGCTGCCAAAAACCACACTCGAGTCACAATCTTGACCGACCCAGGAGATTATCCAGAATTCTTGGAAGAGCTTGCGAAGGGTGATGTCACAGAGCGTAGCAGAAAGTTGTATGCATTGAAGGCATTTGAACATACTGCGGATTATGACGCTTCCATCTCGGATTATTTCCGCAAGCAATATGCTGGAGAGGGTGTACAACAACTTGCTTTGAGATATGGTGCCAACCCACACCAGAAGCCTGCTCAAGCCTACGTCAGTGAGGGACCTATGCCATTCAAGGTTCTTTGTGGCTCCCCAGGATATGTCAATCTTTTAGACGCTCTTAATGCATGGCCTTTAGTTAAGGAGCTCAAGGCCGCCCTTGGTCACCCAGCAGCGGCCAGTTTCAAGCACGTCTCACCTGCAGGTGCTGCAATTGGTGTTCCTCTCACAGCTGATGAGCGTAAAGTCTACATGGTCGATGACATTGCTGGTTTGGAGAATTCTCCTTTGGCTCAAGCATACGCACGTGCCAGAGGTGCCGACCGAATGAGCAGTTTCGGAGATATGATCGCATTGAGTGATATCGTTGACGTTCCAACTGCCAAGATTATTTCAAGAGAAGTTTCGGATGGTGTTATTGCTCCAGGCTACGAGGATGCCGCCCTTGAGATCTTGAGAAAAAAGAAGGGTGGTAAGTACCTTGTCCTTCAAATGGACCCCGACTTCACACCACCTACACAAGAGACAAGAACCGTTTATGGTATCAACTTGAGCCAACGCCGCAACGATATTGTCATTTCCCCCAAGTCATTCTCTTCCATCATTACACCAAAAGAGTCCGCTCCTCTTTCCGACTCAGCTGTCCGAGACTTGACAGTGGCTACTATCGCATTGAAATATACACAAAGTAACTCTGTTTGCTACGCCCTAAATGGTCAAGTCATTGGCTTGGGAGCTGGTCAACAATCTCGCATTCACTGCACCCGACTTGCCGGAGATAAGGCCGATAACTGGTGGTTGAGGTTTCATCCACGTGTTTTGGGTATCAAGTTCAAGACTGGTACCAAGCGCCCTGACAAGAGCAATGCAATTGATCTCCTCGTCAGTGGTGAATTGCCAAAATCTGGTCCAGAGCGTGAAGGATACGAAGGTTTCTTTGAAGAGGTTCCTGCCGAGTTCACCGAAAAGGAGAGAGAAGAATGGATGTCGAAACTCACTCAAGTTGCAGTTTCCAGTGATGCATTTGTAAGTTTACGTTATTTCTATTCTCTCATTTTATGCACTACTAACTTGACTAGTTCCCATTCATCGACAATGTCTACCGTGCTGCAAGATCAGGTGTTAAGTACATTGCTGCACCAAGTGGCAGTCAAAATGATTCATATGTCTTTGAAACTGCTGAAAAGCTTGACATCACATTTGTCGAGCAAAGCATTCGTTTGTTCCACCACTAAATTGTCTATTTCGTAAGGTTCGGGATAGCGAGCGGATATTGCAAGGTTGGAAACCTTGCTTCAACCCATTTGAGGGAAAAATTCTAGAGATACCCTACCATAGAAACGACCCACAGGGCGTAACGTGATATGAAAATTCAACATTTGTGACTATTTTTCAATTCAATTGAGCTTTCAGGCACATTTTTTGCTTTGCTATCATGACCATGGAGTACCTATATGTAGTATAATCCACGTGCATAATCAGAGTAAGACAAATTCATCGAATTCTTGCGACTTCCTGAAACGTAGGATTGGGCAGGAAATGATAAGACCGTTCTTGTCGACCCATCGGCGCAGACATGCAGCCATGACTTTCAACTGGAAACATGAATCTGCAACATGCAAAGAACTTTTTTTAGAGCATTATTATATCATCTGGGGTTCGGTAATGTTGAAAAGGCGTTCGTAAATTGTGATGTCGCTTTTCACTGGTGCGTTCGACACCTGAGAGGACAGATGATGGGTGAATGGAGTCAGCACTAGAACTACGGTATCTCTCGTGCAACAGCCCAGTGTAAGGGTGTTCGTACGGGTAACTGCTTGCCTAGTATTCAATTCAGATGGGATACGGACTTTGGGAGAATAGCCTAGGTACTCATGCTTATGATCTATTTTATTATTATCATCATTGTTATGGTTATCGTTACATCTAGATTTCTAATGGAACGGATGAGCGGGAATTTGCAAAGGCGTCTGGACTGTGATTTGTTTGTCTTTGATCTGTTTAAAATAGAAACAGACATAGACATGGGAAATATCTTGGAATTGATTGCATGAATTGAATGGAAAATTTCTCTTGAAAAATGATTTGAATTGATAATTCGATCTATGTAATCATTTTATTATTATTGATATTTTGCAACCAGTAATACTAATACGGATGAATGTGTATGCGTGTACTATCACATCTTTTAAATATAGATTCTTTTATCTGGATGGATAATGTGTATGTGTGTGTACCTGCCTATCTATATATGGTACCTGCCTCAAGCCTGCGTAGTGCGGTGCGTGGATGCTTGATAAATCTAATGGGCATTCCTTTGCATTATGATTAATTGCCTGGTAGTTTTTTCCATCATACTCCGTAGACAAAGTTAGTATAGAATATGATATAGCAAAAATAGTTCTTTAATATCGAAGGAAAATCTATCTATTGGATATCAATCGATATTGAAATTCTCTATCGAATGATCAAACGATAGATGTCCAAGCTTCTTCTGATAATGAAGGATTGATTGGATTCTGAAGATCAATACGGTAGATAGAGACTTTGGTGATGCTGGTCAAGGGTCCATCAGAAATGGTACTTGTCGTTCTTACAGAAGTAGATGCCGCCAAGTCCGTGCTGATGAAGGGGGAGGATGGATAAATCGCGATTGGTGCTGACATACTTAGTATGTTTGTTTACCGCCCGAGCTAGTCCTCGCTAATGCGGATAGGCTGGGGGAGTAGTTGCTGTTTTAGTTGTGTAAGATTTATCTCGATTGTTAAATGCAACCAAAACTTTGAAGCCAATACATAAATTGTGATTGTGGTCCCCTGTTTATTCATCGTGCACACCATGTTCGGATTTAAAAGCAGCATGTATATCACTAACAAATCATAGCCGAAAGATTCAATTTTCACTCTCACTCGCATCATGAGTCGCATGTGTTTCCTTCAAGCATTAATATCGGTTTCCTCCAATCATATCCTGGTTTGCATCGTTCACACATCCAATATGCAGATGCAAAGTGCCAAAGAGGTCAGCCCGGGAGTATTGAAGGGAATTGAAATCCCCCGCTCTGCAAATCATTGATAAAGACCAGGTCAGAAAATGGCCCTGAGTGGTGGTGTAGTGAAGAGTGGGCGCCAAAAAAAGATGAGAGATGGGTAGTACCACCTTACTCATTTGCTTCTAACCGTGTAATTTCTGCTTGCAATTTTCTGTCTTCTATATCGTTTTCAATTTTCTCCATCTCTTTCTGCATGTTCAAAAGTATCTTTTGCGTATGTTTGATATTCCTCTCGTGGCTGAAAATCCAACAAATGTCGAATCATTTATAACAAATCTCACTCAGCCTTGTGTTGAGACCGCAGTTCTTGCCCCCATCGATCTAGACAATATATCGACGGGTAGAACCACACACTTTCTACTTTTGTTTAGTTCGTGCGAATAGAAAAACGCATCTTTGATGCACACTATCAGCGGGCGTCTATTTCGGTCCCAATATCTGTAAGGTTAGACCCCACCATTCATCCAGTTATATTCTTTCCCTTCAGTGCGAGGCCAATATTTGGCCACTAGGTGTCCGATATCCTGGTCTTGCATCTGGTCTACAAGTCATATCATTGCTCTCCATCTCCCGCTTTCTTCAAACAGTCGTACGAAGCCTGGTATTTTATTCCAATTTTTTGCTTTTGTCGTTGTTGCGCGCGCTACACAAAACCCTACGGCATCCCCTCATCTTCAAGAACTGTTTTGTCTTTTTTCTCCCTTGGTAGCTGGTCTCTAATTGTACAACCTTTTCTTCCTTTAACCATTTTACTTGCTTGCACTTCCATTGATAGTGCTTTTGGTCAAGTCTCTTTTTGGCCTCACGATATACTCTAGTAACTTGCGTCAATTTGTCCTTCCTTCCTTTTCAATTCATCACAATGTCATGTTAGTAGTCTGACTATTAGTTATCGTTGATGTATCCGTATGCTCATTGATTTATTTAGCACCACCAACAAACAAGAGGCGTCCACCTCCCCTCACACAGCCCCGATCCTCTAGCGATTCATCTACAGCTTCATCAGCTTCATCACTCAAAGTTCCTCGAACACCCAGATTCGCCGAAGCGACGGCTGTATATTCTCCTGTAGATGATAAGAGATCACCATTTGCAGATCCTCCAAGCACATCAGATTCCCACGCCCCGAAATCACAAGCATACATGGCTCAATCACAACCCTCCGATATTGGCTTCGGCTACATATCAGATAATCAAAGACAATCTCAAGGTGTTCCGGTTGAGATGCCACTCACACCATCATCACCATTGAAAAGCGCGTTAAGAGTACCCGGCACGCCGGGAAGAATGATGAACCCATTAAGTCCGACATTTCGAGAGGAACAGGTTTTAGAAAAGCATGAGGAAATGACTGAGAAGGAACAAGTCAAGGACTTGGTATGAGAATCTTCAAGACAATGATCTTGATTTATACTAACAATTGAGCAGAAAGTCAAGACCAGAGTCAGAGTAGCAAAGCTACTCCTAAGATTTGTAAACTTCAGCTGCAGTCTAATCGTTCTCGCCATGATCTCAACTTCCGTCACCATCTTCAACGCAACCAAATCATTACCAGCCCGAAGCAATCTTCCGCCCTGGGCAGAGGGTACAAAGACTTGGCCTCAAATAGTCGTTCTTTCAGTATCCTGCGTATCACTTGCACTTTGTCTAGTTGTCTTCTACAATTATTGGAAAGGAGGCCACAAGCGAGCAGAGAAGGTTGCGGTTTATTATACGCTCTTTGCAGTCGCCTACTTTATCTTCAGTACAGTTATGTGGGCAGTAGCAGCTGGTATCTTACAGGGTGCAAGAAACTCTGGAAATAACAAAGATATCTGGGGCTGGTCATGTGTCGACAACAAAAGACGAGAAATATTTCAAGAAGAAGTAGACTATGCCCTAGTCTGCCGATTGCAAGTAAGTTTCTCCCCTCGTTCAATTCATTCTCGCAATTCATTCCAACACCTTCACTCTAGTCCTGGGGTCTCGTCTGTTGCATCATCGAAGTCGTCCTCGAATCCATCACCATCGCCATCTACGGCGTCGTCTTCTACCGCTACTATTCCAAACAACGACTTCGCAAGTCCATGGCCATTCGCGATCGCGCTCGCTCAGATCTCTACCTCGCTCAACTCCGCTCCCAATCTGCACCCAACACGCCTGGTTTTGGCCCCTTGAGCCCCTCCTACTCCCAATACGCCAAATCTCCGAAATTCCCACCGAGCGCGTATCAGAATGGGCCGGATGCCGAGGAAGGTCATGGAACGAGATTTGTAGAGGCAAAGCCGTACGGTGGAATGAGTGCAGCGAAACCGTTTACCCTACAAGCACCTCCGATTAAAGTGCAAAGCGCCACGCCGAAGATGGATCAGGGAGGATTCGAAGCTCAGACTCCTCCGCCGCCACCACCTCAGCAGCAACAACAGAGAGTTGTGGAACATGTGGATGCGGCGCCGGGCGAACAAACTTATGCTAGTGTACCGATACCCGGTGCATATGCTAGTCCGCTTCCGAATTCGGGGAGATAGAATTGTTGGAGAATAAGAAGGTGTGAATGTAGATAATTTATTTGGGTCTGTGGTGTGAGGGTGGGTGGATAGTTTTTTGGAATTCTTGGGCTGGGACTTGGATTTGAATTTGGGTTCTTGTGTGTGGTTGGTGTCTAGGACATACACACACAGTACACCCGTACTTTATATTGTTCCTTGACATTTATTTTCTTTTTCCCTATTTCTTTTCTAAACTATCTTTTTGATGGACGGAGTTTGGTCGGTTGGCTGGAAGATACTCCCTATAACGCTGCAGTCGTTTACAATTTCTTTTTTTGCTTTAACAGTTAAAGTGTATGTATGGATGAAAGGGTGTGGATGAAGGGGCAAGGGGTAGCATTGCACTACCACGGTATATCGGCGGATGAAACAACCGAACGAACAAACAAACCAGGGGAGAGAGAGATGAAAGGATGAATAGGATAAACACATCCACTCCCACGATACCAGGACTCAGAAAGAAACCCGAGAAACCCAAAAGAAGCCCCCACTCGTTGAAAAGAAAGAAGCTGGACTTGAAATCTACATTAATATTGCTGGATGCAATTTTGGAAATACAATACGCCTAGGAATCCGGAGTTGGAAGATTCGCTATCTAGATTGATTGTGCGCCATGAAAATGAAAGAATGCCTATCTACCTACCTACCTACTATT